ACTGAGGCCGGCCTCTGCTGAGACCTAACCCAAGGGGGTGGGGGTGGGAACTGGGTCTGGAGGAATGAAGGCCCCCTCCCTCCAGGCTGGACATGGAGCCCGGGTCCTGTCTCACTTTCCTCCTCTAGGGCCTTAGTTCCTCCTGGCTCACTGGGGCCACATGACCCCCCAACCTCACTGCTCCTGCCCCAGAGGAAGGGGCCAGATCAGACAGGGCGGTGGACACAGAGCCTGAGGGAAGTTAGGGAATGAAGGGCAGGGTCCCTGGTGCACGAGGGGGGACGTTTGCTTTTTATTTGGAAATGAAGAGAGAAGGCAAAAGCGTTTTTCATAATGGTGTGAAAGTAGCACTTAGAACAGGGGTCCGGAAACTAGGAGTCCCGGGCCAAATCCGCCTGCTGCCTATTTTTGTAAATAAAGTTTTATTGGGACAAACCGTGTCCTTTCATCTCTGTACCACGTATGGCTGCCTCCACATTACATCAGAGTTGAGCAGTTCCAACACGAGGCCATATGGCCCACAAAGCGTTTCTGGAAAACGTTCGTCTATCTGCAGTTTAGAACGGCCTCTGAACTTGGGGCACTGGCCTCAGCCAGGCAGCAGGAGACCATCAGATGACTGAGAACAAGCTGAGGTCTGAGGAAAGCACACTGTTCAGACCAGCTTTCGAAACCCAGACTGCAGCCTATCTGTGGCTCGTGGTCTCGACTCACAGGGCCGAGGACCGTGCAGACCAAGCCGTGACCAAGTGTGACCAAGTGTGAGAACTGCTGCTTGCTCACCAGCACGCTGGAGAGATGCCCAGGGATCTTTCCAGAGTTGGGCCTCTCAATGAATTTTTAAGCGAGCGAGTGAGAGAGAGAATGTGTACAGATACATGCACATTAAAACAACGCAGGCATGTAAGCTGTGTTCTGGGCACGATGAGGTCGGCACAGTCCGCCCGCTCACTCCTTCTGAGAGCAGCTCTGATGGGTGGGCAGCATGCAGGCGGTGGCTACTCGAGGAATCAGAAAAGTATACGGTAGCAGGTGAACTGGGGAGGAAGAACAGAATTCAAAATACCACCAAACCAGCACCCCCACCCGGCCTTTGGGCAGCCTGAAACTGAGCACAGGTGACAGGGAGGGCCCGAGAGAAGGCCAGGAGCGGCCCTCACACCCGACCTGGGCGGTGAGAGGGGGGATTCCTGACACTCGGACAGCGGGGAGATCTCTGTGTGTTTCTCCTTCCTGTTTCCTCGCACCCCAGGCCCCAGGCAAGCCTACTGCGGTAGGGGTGCCACGGGGAGCCCGCAGGTGCCCGAAACCCTGAGGGGGCGGAGGGCCTTTCCTCTGCAGTCCCTAGAGACCGGGACAAAGCCCCGGTAATGTTTCCCTCTCTGTCCTCCTGCCGCTTGGCCCCAGTCTCAGGTGCAGTCACGGGAAGACCGTGGCAGAGTGGGACAAATAAAGTCCCCGCTTTCTGGCCAGAGGACCGAAGAGAGGAGCACCAGGGAACTGGGCGTTACCATGGAAATGGCAGAGCGAGGCGTTCAGGAAAGCAACCAAATAAAGATGTCTATGGACTCGTGGGCTCCCTCCCAGCTGTGTGTGCAAGGGTCTGACCCTAGACAGCTTTCTAAAGACATCGAGGGCCGAGCCACGGCGCAGACCGCTGCCCGGGCCCCACTGAGCGGCACACACATGGCACAGAGCCTCAGGGAGCCGCACGGCACTCGCAGAGGCTTTGTACACAGAACCCAGATGGGAACCACGGCACAGAGAAGGTGGCTGGAACTGGCGGCCTGAGCCCAAATGAATCAACTGCCCGCGAAGACAAAAGTATCAACACCCGCCGTAGGATTCAAACAAGACCCAGGGTCTCAACAGCAAAAAGAAAAATGCCCGGGATACAGAATCGCGCAGCCCAAGGACAGCCGCGGATGTCTCAGACCTCAGACATCGCCGCTGACGTGACTCAGGCACTGGAGTCAGCGAGGCGTCTGAAGCGGCTGGCTTTAAGCCATGATGGTAACAACAAAGCTCCAATGAGTAAACGGACGGACAAACAGAAAGTCTCAGAGACAGAAGACAGCGAGAAGAGCCCACTGGAATTTTGAAAACCGAGAAACATGGCAATCCAAATGAAAAGCTCGCTGGATGGGCCCAATAGGAGAACGGAGACGGGAAAAGAGGGCCTCAGTGAGCCTCATAATCTGGTCCACAACAGAGGGGAGAGAAACAGAGAACGGAGCCTTGGCGACCCTGCGGGGGCCGCAGGACTACTGTTCACACGAAACGGGGAGAGAAGGGTGCAGAAAGCCTGAAGAACCTGTAGAAATGATGGCCCCAAACTGCCCCAGTTTGGAGAAAAATGTGAACTTACAAATTTAAGGAACTCAACCAATCTCCAAAAGAACGAATCCAAAGAAATGCATGCCAACCATTTGGTAACTGAACTGCTGGAAACCGAGAACGCAGAGGACAATCTGGGAGGAAGTCGGGGAAAGGGGCTCGCTGCTTGGGCGGCAGTCCTTCCACTAGAGACCATGTTGGCCAGGAGGAGGCGGGACCCTGCGAGGCGTGAGGAGAAAGAGCTGGGGATCTAGAATTCTGAATCCGGGGACAAATACCCCTCAAGAACGAAGGCCATAGGGGAGCCTGGTGGCTCAGTCAGTTGAGTGTCCACCTTCAGCTCGGGTCACGATCTCACAGTTTGTGAGTTCGAGCCCCGCGTCGGGCTCGCTGCTGTCAGTGCAGAACCCGCTTCGGATCCTCTGTCCCCACCTCTCTCTGCCCACCTCCCATTTGCACGCTCTCAAAAATAAACAAACATTTTTTAAGAAACACACAAGACATATATTAAAGTGAAATACTTTAACAGTGGTCAAGTCGGGATAAATTGGACTTCGTTAAAATTAAAACCGTTTGCTCTGTGAAAGCCACTGACATGAAGACAATAAGACTAGCTGTGGACCAGGAGGAGAGGCCTGGATACGACACGGTTTAACAACCCTCAGTGTCCCCATCTGTAAAATGGGGGAGTCATAGCACCGACCCAACAGAGCTCCTCTGAAGACCCAAGGAGTCAGTGTGTGCAAAGCCCTCCCATGGTGCCCATCGTTCCTGTTGCCCCCCATCTGCCCCTCCAGATCCCCCCCCGCCCTCTCCAACCCCCTCTGTGCCCCAGGAGGCTGACCTCCATGGATGGGCTGCTTCGTCTGGACGCCTGCCCTCTGGCTTCACTGGGTCTGGCAGCAGAGAGTCGGGGGTACCCCGAGTTCTCCCTCTGCCCCTCCGGGTCCAGGAGTGTCCAGCTCCCTGTGGGGCTGGTCTCAGGGGCTCGTGGATTACCTGAACTACCCCCTACTTCCACAACGTTCCTTTCCTTAAAGGCTCTCCTGTGACCCCTTGGGGTGGGGCCAGCTCTCTCCTAAGACCCCCGATGGGTACCCTAGATTCCACCTTGTTGTCTGGCTAAATCCAAGGTGAAATTCACACACTGAGCTTCACGGAGCTCTGGGTCGTCTGTCTGACCCTTCTCTGCGGGCCCCGGGTCACCTCTGTGCTAGGACCTGAACCCACGCCCCTCCCCTGCCCTTCATCTGGTAACAGAGCCCCTCTCCCTGGGAGCCCCCCCAGCCGCTCCACGCGGTTTCTTACCCGCCTGATGCAGTCCTCCTCACTCACACGTTCCTGAATCAGTCTGACGAGCAGGGTGCTGGGCACCTTCTAAAGGAAAGACGACACATGGAATGAGGGCCTCAGCCCGCACACTGGGCCACAAAGGATGTGTAAGTGGCAGCCCAGCGGGCTCAGCTGAGGAGCTGGCTGTGTGGACACAAAGGTTCGCCAGTCCCTGGCTGACTGCCCAGTGGCCTCCGTAAAGTCCAGGCCTGCCTTGCAGCCCTCCCCCCGCCACCCTGTGCTCCCCACATGTGCACACCTACCTCGACACTCTTGCTTATTCCGTGCCCCCGCCCAGATGCTCCCCCCACCCCACCCAAGTGACTCTGGGTTCCCTCAGGTCCGTGGCCCAAGTGCCACTGCCTGTAGGCCGCCCTCCGTGACCCTCCCCAGGCTGGGCTGGGGGTCGCCATAATCCCCGACGGCAAACTCTGTCATTGCTCTAACCACTCGACCTTCTGGGGGTCTGCTCATGTCCATCTCCCCAGAAAGTTTCAAAGTTCCTGGAGGAATGGGACTGGCTTACACAAGCAGGGAGAAGCAGAGGCTGAACTTGAACCCCCTCAGGGCAGCCAGAGCCCCGCCCCTTAAGCACCAGCGATGGCAGGTAAGTGGGGGAAGGGGGCACAGCCTGTGCAGGTAGGAAGTTAAGGGCGGCTGACCTTCTGTCTCGCTTCTGAACTTTCTCTGGCCAGAATCAACACCCCAGTTTTTACAACCAAGTCTTGAAGGCCCCAGAGCTGACGCCTGGAAAACCTCCTCCCAGGTGTCCCCTTGACCCAAGATCATTAAAAGCTGGTGCTTCTCCATACACACCCCAAATGCTTGGCCAAGGCGGACTCCCAGGCCAGCCCCAGACCGCACATCCTAAGCTATGTCAGGGCTGAACCAGCCCCCAGGGGGGCGGGCGGGGGGCTCCCGCCAGGCATAGATGAGGGCCCTTGGGTGTGCACAAGGAGGCGCCCAGGTGGCGAGAAATCTACCTTCCCTTCCCTTCCCCAAGCTGGGGACCCTGGAGTGGGACCATAAGAAAGAGGGGGCAAACGCTTTTCCCTAACTTCCCAAAGTATCCACTGGGGAAAAGCCTGGATCTTTCATTCTAGAGGCAGCATTTGTGAGGGTCCGGAGACACCAGAGCCTGCCTCCGGAATGCTGTCGTGTCCGCCTGGAGTGCGGTCGGAGCACCTGGAGAGACCGGGAGCTGGGACACGGCGGCGCCTCTGGAACAGGCTTAGAAACGGGCTTTGGTAAGTGCTTGTGCATGTGGCAGAATGCGTCCACGCCTCCCTTCCGCTATGTCCTGGCAGCGAGCGTGCGGCGAAGGGGCTCGGGACAGCTCCCACGCAGCGGAATTCGGAGGGAACGGGGCACCGGCGCAGGCGGAGAGAAGCCAGGGACGGGGGAGCGATCCCCAAAGGGGCTCAGCTCCTGTGCACCCAGCTCCTCCACATTCTCCAGGTAGCGCCCTCACCTGCCTCCCCTTGAAGCTGTTTGGATGGGTCCCCTGACAAGAGCAGGCTGCACTCGGGCAAAAGAAGTTCGGCGGTGAAGGACCTCCTTGGGGACACAGCATTCCGGGTAACTGGCTCACAGGGCAGGGATAGGAGCTGGAGGGAGAGGAGGCCGAGGGCTCTGAAGCCCTCAGACAGAGTGATTTCAGAAGGTTATATCTGGTGTCAGGGGGAGGATAGGCCAAGTGGGTAAAGAATGTTCATAGGGAGACCCTTGGGCGGCGGGGGGGAGGGGGGGTGGCACTGATTGGTCGGGGACTCAGACACTCATGATTTGGGCCCTGGCCACCTGCTGAGTGACACCGGACGAGTCTTCAATACTCTGAGCCTCAGTTTCCTCATTTGTCAGTGAGACAAAGACAAGGTGCCTCAAAGAGTTTCCATGAGGATAAAACGAGGTGGTACACGAGGCGAGCCTGGGACGCGCCCAGCCCCCAGCGAGGGCTCAGCGCCGCGGTCATGATCGCCCCTGAGTACCCTTAATATACCCTGCATGCTGCTTCCTCACCACGGGTCTGGACAAGCAGCTCCACTCAAGGGGGGCACTGATGCCTGGTCTGTGTCACCTCCCACTGTAGCGCACGACCAGGGGCCCAGACCTCTCCCCACTCACACTCACATCTCTGACAAAGGATGTGGGAAGTCAAAATAAATCCCAGACACGCAGGCCTGCTGCTGGGGGTGGGGGAATCTGGGAGCAGAACGCAGACTCACCCTCAGCATCAGGGCTCGCCTCCCCACCGCTTGCCCTGGGCTGGCTCTGTTCATGGTCAAGCTTCCCACTCTTGGCTACATAATGGCTGCTGCAGCTCCAGCCAACTGGGTGACCTTGGGCAAGTCTTGACCTCTTTGGGCTTCACACACCTCATCCAGAGAAATGAGTGGCAATTCTGTAGTTTTTCCTTTTATTTTTTTGTCCCTCATCCATACACCCTGCCTCCTATAATGCAAAGAACCCCCAAAATTCCTTGAGGAGCCACCCTCATGCCCCGCAGCTTGTATAGTTTCTGTGGGGTCAAGCCCACAATCAGATACAGTAGGGGACCCTAATTGGTCCAAGTTGATCGGTACATCCCACCGCTGGCCACTGTGATTGCTTCAGACGCTGTCCACGTCCCAATCCTGACCAAGAGGCATCAGGTCCAGGACGTGGGGTGTAATCACCAGAGGCAGGAGCCCTCGCTTTCCAGTGGATCCCAAGCTGAGGGGCTGGAGCCAAGGCAGGCACTTGGCAGGTATGAGGGGAGCACAGGACACAAAGCCAGCACAAAGGGAGAAACCAGGTCTCAGCTTCATCAGAATGGCTTTTCCATGATGTGGAATCGGAAGAGGAAGACAGAGCAGACGGCGAGAGGGTGAGGGAGGGGGTTCCTCTGGGAAGCATCGGACTTGTCTGTGTCCACTGGAAAGTTCTGGGGCCACTATGGTTTCTACTGAACGGACGGCGAAAGTTAAGAGCAGGAGTGAGCAGGAGAGAGAGAAGGGATGTATGTATGACACATCGAGAACGAGGAGGCCAGAGAGGCGAGAGGGAAGCGAGCCAGCATCCGGTCCCTGGGTTCGGCACCCCCGAGACACCTGTGTCCTTCCGTCCGCCCTCTCCCCCCACCTTGCCAATTTCTTGCTCAAGCCAGTCATTCCTCCACCTGGAGGTGCACCCCTGGAGAGCTTGTGAGAGCACAGGTCACAGGCCCCACGCCAGGGTTTCTGATCCAGTGGGTCTGGGGTGAAGCTGAGAATCTGCATTTCTAACAAGTTCTCAGGGATGCTGAGGCTGCTGGTCCAGCGACCACACCTGGAGAGCCACTGTCTTAAATAAGCAAACTCCAGCAGCCAAGAGCCCTACCCCGCTTGCGCTTGCGAGAGGCTGCTGGCAGGGGCCAGGGGGTACCTTTCTGCCCCACCCATATCCTCTTAGCTCCTCCAGGGAAACTTCCCCCAGCTGGCTGGTGAGGGGAGGGGGTCAACGGCGGGGGGCAGCCCTTTCCTGTTCCCTCCCGACCCCAGGCAGAGTCAGTTTCCATCCTGAGGCCCATTTCCCTTGAGACTTGTCTCCTGTCCCTGACAACACCCATTCAGGAGGCAGCAAAGAGGTACCAGAACGGGGCGGGGGGGGGGGGGAGCCCAGGGGGGGAGCCGAGGGGGGTGCAAGGCAGTCAAAGAACAGGGTTGAAAGGAGACAGGTCCAGATGGGGTACAGCACCCGCAGGGGTGTGCCCGGCAGGGGACAGGCCCCTGACTTTGAGCACAGCCCCTCCCGGGCGCCCCCCACCGCTCCCCGCCTTGGTGCTGTCTCCATGCCAGCTTTGATGTGTCACGTCAGCAGCGGGGCTTCCACGGGGCGCTTCTCGGAGTCCCTGCCAAACTGTCTTTGTAGGAATCAGACTCCCTCCTCCCAGAGCTCTGCCGTGCTCTCCCACCCCGGTCCCGCAAGGCCTGGCTTTGTGGGGAGACTCGGGGACAAACCGACGGAGGCCAGCGAAGGCCCAGAGGGTCACCGAGAAGGCCCAGATCAGATGCAGGCCCCTGGCCCCTCATCTCCCTGCTTTCTTGTCATCAAGGCCGCGCTGGCTTCTGGCTGGACCTCGCTTCTCCTTCCAGCTTCTTCTGCACAGGGCCCTGGGGCAGAGCCACCGATGTGCTGACCTCAGAGGAGCCGTCCTCCCCTGAACGACGCAACGCTGGGCTGCTGTTCACAGGCGGCCAGGTGCAGTGGAAGCTGGCTCTGCCCCCTGGGGCCCCTCACTTCACTGATCACACCTGGGCTTCCTCACTGGACTGCAGGAGCCTGTGTGGTCCCATCCCCGGGCCCCATCCTCTGGCCCCTGCTGCCCCGTTGTCGCCCTGGGTGACGCTTGCTCAAGAGTCAGAGACATCTCAATCTGCAGCATGAATTTGCCCCGGAGCAGAGGCAGGAGGGGAATCGTTGAGACTCCTTGTCGCCCCCCCCCCCAGGTCCCCTTCCTCCTACAGTGCTGCTGGTGGGGGGGAGGGAAGCCTGCACTTGGACTTGAGCTCACGTTAAGACCTGGGCAGAGAGTCTTTAAAGACAACTCTCATTTTAGAGTTCCTGCTGCTTTTCGGGGCTGTCGGCGCAGGTCTGGATGGCAGGTACTCTTGGAGCTGTGACACACAGGGTCACAGAGGGAGGTGGCCCAGAAGAGACCCTGTGGTGGGAAAGGCCAATGAACTTCACCGTCACCTTGAGTGACTAACTGGGGACACGAGACAGCGGGAGGGCCCCTGCGCTGTGCGGCCCCCAGGACACAGAGCAGTAAGGTCACAGAGGGGATGGCCGGAGCTGACGGAGGCCAGCCCCGCCCAGGACCCTCAGCAGTCCTCCGAGCACTGCAATCCTGTGTGCAGAGGCATGGGTTCTTTCATTTGGATACTAAAGAAAATGGTGACTCTGGCAGCTGGGCACTTGGGTACATCGGGTTACACCAGATTTTTACATTTGTAAACAGAACTGGAGTTAGTAAATAACACTGAAGTTAGAAAGAACCCACTCTGGATCCTGCCCGTCTGACCCACCGGCCTTCAGAGTCTAGGTCACTTATTCATTCAACAAACACAGGCTGTTGTGCTCTGATACAATAGCCGCAGGCCGAAGAAAACTTGATCTGCGATAATGATCGTGATGAGGAAGGGGAGTGGCGCTTGGGGTGGGTCCCCCAGGGACCATGTGAGAATTCCCTGGGGAGCATTTGAAAAATCCTGATGCCTGGCCCCAACCCCGGGGCTTCACACTAAACAAGTCCGGCAGGGCCCACGTGAGCCTAATGTGCTTCAAAGATCGAGAACTTCCGGACCAGGCAGCCGCTCAGGGAGGTTTACAACTGTGCATTCTTCCTGCAGGGATTTCAGTGATAAAGTTCTTCCCCCCCCCACCCCCCACTCCCGCCCCAGTAGAAATGAAACCATTCCAGAACAATCACACTCAGCTCCCGCTGCACAGAAATATCCTTCCAGTGTGGGGACTCTTCACCTTCCTGTCACCTCCTGTGTGGTTAGAGGCGGGACTTGGTTCTGTTCCCCGTAATCTCCCAAACCCCAGCAGGGCCTGCACTGGGCCAGAACCGACGGAGGCACCGACTCTCAGGCTCATGCAAGTGCAGGGTCCGCCCCTGACAGCAGGAGCCTCCTTCGCTCTCGTGCCCTGGGCTCCTGCCGGCCTCCCCCTTGCTCCCCACCCCACGCCCAGGGCCCCCTCACCTGGGGTTTGGAATCAGGGTGGGCCTAGAGAACAGGCCAGAGCAGGCAGAGAGGGGAAAAGATCTGACAAGACAGGGTAAACTGAGAGCAAAGATGGCCCCGGTCAAGGCGGAGAGGAGACAAGAAACACCTGCCCAGGGTGGGGTTTATACCCAGAGTGCCCTGGGGCCGGAAGACTGTGAGAAAGCTGCCTCCTCGGGCAGAGTTTAGCCCTGGCCAGATCCCGGAGAAAGACTGATGAGTTTTCGAAGTGTGACTGTGTGCGTCTTACTTCCTTCCGGACAGTGGAAATAAGCGAAGGCCACCCAAATGGAAACAAGCAAGGCTACGAGCTCCGGGCTCGCTCTGGCGGGGACTCACCACATCACTCGGGTTTGGCAGAGGCTCAGAGGCCGGCAGCGGAGCGGGAAGGCCTCCCGGGTGTGCTCTGGCAGCACTGCGGCCCGGGCAGCGGGGGGACGGCCACCTCGAAGCGGGGCGCCCCGTGTGCTTGGCTTTCTCAGGTTGGCCACACGTTGGAAGGAGGGACAAAAATGAGGGAAGCTGTCCGTTATTAATCAAGCCTGGGCCACGCGGGGCTGACCGCCATGGGGTTCTCGCTGGGCTTCCTGGATCACACTAGAGGCAGCCGTCTGATTCCCCCCCAGTCTGCCCTGGGACCTGCTGGCCTCCTGAGCTGGTTACTGAGACAACGGGCGGGTTTCCTGGGCCGGCTGCTGCAGGCTTGGGTCAGAGCCCTATTTTTATATACGGTCTGGTCATTGCCTGGTCCATCTCTCAGCAGACAGAGACCAGAACAACTACGGATGAAATGAAATGCTGTATGGGTTTTTCTCTCCAATAACCGGGGAGCAGGGCGATGCTGGGGAGCACGCGGAAAGAGATGCCGTGAGCAGATACTGGTTTAAGCCGGCGATGGGCCCGTGAGGGTTCTGCTGCCTCACAGCCTCTATCGTTGCGATAGTTTATAATAAGCGGTTCCAAACAAAAGCGCTGGTTCCAATCCCTGGTCACCTTGGATACCCTCAGGGGTGTGGCCGCCTGTGCGGGTTTTGTGGCACTTTGCCCCTTAAGAAGGCTTTTCCTAGCGCGACCGTGGCCACGGCTCCATGGACCCCCTAAATCCTGCAGCCTGCATGCTCTTCAGCCACGAGTCAGTGCCTGGTACTCAGTCCCTGCTCAGAGAACACTTCAGGGTAAGGGGATTAGTCAGCCAAACCCCCGAATGCACGAAGCTTCCAGGTCCCTTAGCCTGGATCTCCCCCACGTCCCCCAAAGTTCCCAGGGGCCTGGAGAAGGAGTTCATCTTTGGGTCTCCCGTGGCACCGCGCTACTTCCAAAAGGCTGTAAAGGGTTCCCAGTCTGAGGGCGATTTAAAGACGACCCTCAACCAGAGGCCACGCCTGGCGACGGCCACCTGCGGCCAAGCCAGGCCACGCGTAGCCGCCCTACGCGCACCATCCTGGCTCTTCAGAACCTCTCACTCCTTCATCAATCCTGACAGCCTTGCCTTTCATCTTCCCCCCACCCCCCCGCTTCCAAGCCAAGGAACCCCGATAAGACACCCTTGAAAGCACTCCGATGTGGTCTGAAATATGCTGATAATTAGCATAATGAAACCCAGGAGGAATTTCCTTAAAATCCTCCCCTCTGCTGAATTTTATAAACCTGATAAAAGCATCTTTATCCTGGAAATAAGCCTGCCTCCCCTTCCCCGAGAGGCTGTCTGAAAATGACAAAACCACATCCCCACCCCAAATGCTGGCGTCCCCCCACCCATAAGCACACACTGATTCCTGCAAACCTGCAGGGCCGGGGAGCAGGCCTCTGAGAGCCCCCGCCAGGCAATGGCGGGCAGGAAGTGCTCCGGATTAAACATATTCAGAGTCAGCTCGCAGTGGTGGCGGCTGACCTTGCCGAAGGAGATCCTCCTTCCATCAAGTCGGGGTAACCGGCAAACTTGGGGTTGGGAGTCTGCCCGAGTCCCATCCCTCGTGCCTGACAACTGCCCCCCGCCCTGCCGGGGCCCTCCCGGTCACGTGCCCCCATGGCCTTGCCGACCCCGCTCTGCACACCCCTCCCCAGAGCTGGCTGGGCCCTGCGGACCCCTTTTCCTGAGCACTGGGCCGTGGTGCTGCTTCTGTGGGTGGTTGAGCCAGGGAACAGGGGGGGGCCAAAATGACAGAAGAGAAAGCTCAGGATGAAAATACAAGGTGAAGTGGCCTCAAAGAGGCGGACAGTGGCCAGGGGTGGTGCCCAATTCTGGCTGCGGGGCCAAGAAGGGAGGTGGTACCTCCATCAGGGCCCAGGATGTGTCCCCCACACGGCCTCTCCTTTTCTGCCCCAGGCAGGGGACGAGGACAGGTTGCAGCCCGCTGGACTGTTCCCCGGCTTCTCACCCCAACTGCTCTGGGGCAGGGCTCTGGGGTAGGCCTGAACCCACCTTTGCCCTGGGTCACTGCTTCACTGGTGCCGGTGTGGTGGGGGTGGGGGGAGGAGGGGAGGGGAGGGGGGGAGGAGGGAGGCCTGGGAAGCACTCAACAAACACAGGGATTCTTTCCATTCTCAGAGTCTCCAGAAAGAATGCCCCAGAGGGCATATCCCTGCCGCTCTGCTCTCAACACACGTGTCCCCCAAATTCATATACTGAAACCCTAACCCTCAAAGTGACAGAATCGGGGCGGGGGAAACTTTGGGAGGTGATCAGGTCGTAGAATGGGATTCCTGCCCTCACGGAAGAGACCGCAGAGGGCTCCCTTGCCCCTGCACTTTGAGGACACAGTGAGAAGACGCCCTCACCAGACACTGAACCTGCTGGAGCCGTGATCTCGGACTTCCAGCCTCCAGAACTGGGAGAAATAATCTCTGTACTTCCAGGCCACCCAGTCTGTGGTATTTTGTCACGGTGGCCCGAATGGACTAGGAGATCTGCTCACATCCCAGAGGGGCTTATGAAGAAATATTTCCAAGTTTCTAATTCGGAGTAAAGAAAAACAGCATGAGCAAGCTCTATATTTCCCCTGGGGAAACCCAAGTTTCAGACATGGGGTTGGTGAGATTTTTAGGATCAGGACACTCGGCGCCCTGGGGGGCTAGCCGCAGATGTGTGTGAGCCGGACGGAGGGGTGGGGAGGGCGGCCCCTGCGCCCCCGAGGCCCCCGAGGTGCAGCGCGCCAGGTCCGTCCACCGCGGGGACGGCTGGACGACGGCCCCGAAACCCCCTGGCCGGGCCGGCGTGGCTCCATCCTCTGTGGACGGACCCCTGCCTCTCAGCACCCACGCGATGGGGTGACCCTGGGAAGAAGCACGGGCCAGGGCCGCTCCATCAGCACAGAATGGTCACCTCGCGCCGTCAGCAACCCCTTTCTGCCACAAACCCCTCGTCCCCACAGCCGCCAGGACACGCACCCTGCTTGAGAGTTCTCTCCTTCCTTCCAGCCCACGCTGCCTGTGTTTCAGTTTACCCCCAGCACTCTCCTTGCTTGGTCCACGAGGAAATGGAGACGTGCTGGGGGTGGGGGTGGGGGGCAAGGGGGGCCGTGGGAGCCCTGTCACCCCGTCTCCCCTTCCTGCCGCCCTGGGACCAGCCCTACCGTCACGTTCTGGTAATGCCTCCTGGCACCCGCAGCCAGAGAGGAAAATTCTCTTCCTATCAGGTTCTCCACGGTGAGAAGATTGCTGTTGAGATGTTTGCACAGCCACATTGCCTGAAGAAAGAGCCAAAGAAAATTTCAGTGAACGCTGTAATTAAGAGGACTCCGTTAAAATGCCCAGGCATTTCCGTATTCTACTAGAAAAGACTGGCCACAGGGAAGCATAACTGCTTTCTGGCTGGAAGGAGGCCACCCAGGGGGACAAGCCCACAGAGCACCCCCCCCTCCCCAGCCTGAGGAGGCCGCCCGAGTGTTCTCTCTTTTTCCAGCAGCCAGTGATAACACGGAGCTAGAAAGCCCACGGAGGGGCCCTGCTTGTAGCTGCCTTGACGCGCCTTCCCAGCTCCTCAGGGCCACAAAAAGGTTCCAACAGGAAATGCAGGGACAGGACCTAAACATGGGGCACAAACATACCCGTTCATTTTTTGTTAAATCAGGAAATGATCTGACCAAATGAATGTTTAGTTCATTGATGACTACGTATACTCTACAGGGCGGAATACATTTTAGGGAATAATAATGTAATGAAATGCTCTTAATGGCAAGATTATACTGATGGCCATTTCAGCATCGGGATGATTCAGAAGGCCCTGAAGTCCCCCGGGGCAAGTATCAACCTTAATTCTCTCTGTTCCTCCTGCTGGGAGATGTCAGTGATGATAGCCCTGCAGGGCTCTGTCTGGATTATACTGTATATCATCTTACTGTAAAATTAGATTCTGCGTGTCCCCACATAGTGGTCAGACGTGGGGTAGCGCATTCACCAAAAGCTGAAACAGCAGTGAGGCGCGGTGGGCCCTGACCTCACCAGGGGGCAGAGCCGATGGCCTCAGCCAAGGTGGGACTGGATGAAAGAAGTTGTCTGTGCTCACCACGCTTCACGAATTCTACCCAGCAAATTCGCCAGAGATCAGGGAAGAGCTGGAACTGGGGTTAAGCGTGGGGTGGGGGGGAGGGCTGGGGGGGAGGTGCCCAGAGTGCCAACGTCTCAAAGACAAAGGCCTTTTGCCAAAGGAGACCCCTCACCCTGAGTGAACCGACTCCGCCTTAACGTGGCTCGGGAGCCTGTCTGTCTCAGGGCAGAGGCTACCACCTCAGAAGTGGTTTCAACCGGCTTCCTGGGCCTTTTTTCCCAGGAGATTCTGATCAGGCAGGTCCAGAGGGGAGTCTGGCACCCGCCACCTTCCAAAGCACCCTGCTAACGCTTGTGGCTGCCAGGCCTGGGGGCCCTGGGTTTCTAGCAGGAAAACAGCGTGTTAGGTTGGGGGGACCGTAGAAAGGAGTGAAGGCTGGCAGCCTGATCCTCAGGAAGGAAAACTACAGACAGACAAGCAGAAGGACAGAGGGAGGGATGGATGGGCAGAGGGGTAGACAGAGAGACAGACAGAGCGCTAGGATACAGACGATTCCTGAGCACAGCAGATGCAGGCCAGCTCCGGCAAGGATCGGCCGTCTTAATCCCTTTCCTGAACACAGCCAAGTGCCAGCTCGTCAGGGGACACAGCCCGCCATGTCACCCAGGCCCGGGACGAGTGCTCACAGTAGTGGCACGGTCATCAAGGAAGAGTTGACTGAAGTCCGCTAGCCAGGCTTTTAAAAGACAGAGTTCCAGGGGCACCCGGGAGGCTTGGTCAGTTAAGCGTCTGGCTCTTGATTTCAGCTCAGGCCATGATCCCAGGGTCGCGGATGGAGTGCCGCAACAAACTCCACCTCCACTCTGCACTGAGCATAAAGTCTGCTGAAGATTTTCTCTCTCTCTCTGTCTGCCCCTCTCCCCTGCTCATGCTCGCTCGCTCTAAAATAAAAAGTCAGTAAAAAGCAGAGTTCTGTCTCAGATGATTAAGACGTTACAAAGTTTTGACACTCCAAAAAAGGAGTTTAAGGTTAAAACTGTAGGCAGGACGAAGCACACCAGCTTCAGGACTTAAGCCTCCAACTTAAGATAAAGAAGTGGGTACGATGAGGCATCTGCTGTATCTTTAAAGCCATATCTAAAGTGGAAAGGGAATCATCAAAGCAAACACAGCAAGATGATCAATTCTGGAAAATCTGGGAGCTGAGTATCTATGGTGCAGTTTCTATGCTTTTCTGATTAAACAGTCTCATAGTTAAAACTTTAAGAGTGAGGGGCGCCTGAGTGGCCAGGTTGGTGAATCGCCCGAATTCGGCTCAGCTCATGATCTCACTGTTCGTGGGTTCGAGACCCCGTGTCGGGCTCTGTGCTGACAGCTCGGAGCCTGGAGCCTGCTTCAGATTCTGTGTCTCCCTCTCTCTGCCCCTCCCCCGCTCGTGCTCTGTCTCTCTCTCTCAAAAATAAACATGAAAACAACAACAACACTTTGAGAGTGAATCTAAAGATTCTGTGTCAAAAGTCTCTAGACGCTGGTCTGCTTCTGGAAATTTATCCTAAGGATGTAACCAAGTGTGTACAAAGATGGTGCCCCCGCGGCCCGAGAAAGCCCTGGAACGTAGAGCCCAACTGTTGAAATAATGCTCACCCCTGGATGGTTGCAGAGTTATACTTTTGTGTTCTGTGCTTTCTAGGCTTTCTACGAGGCCTGCTTGCCGCCTCTCCTAATAAGAAAATAAGTTAAAGAAGCAGAAGGGAAGGATGAAGAAACGCTCCGTTGTGCTGAGAACCCGCGGAGGGGCGGCCCGGCTCCCGCTCTGCAGGGAGATGAGATATTACAGCGTTACAACACTTAATATGATGCACTTACTATAGTTGTTTTCCCCGAGGCGGGTGGACCTAATATTACAATCTTCGGCACTGTGGAATAGAAAGATTTGAATGTCACCGCTCGAAATGATAAAGCAAGCTCCGTGCCCGCGGTACTGCGGGGGTATTCATTTCCTTCCTCCCCAGATTTCATTTTCTGCGAGTGACACGGTCGTTTGTAACCCAGTGGCTCAGGGATGGTCTCGCCATAGAACATACTCTGTATGTTTAGAGAGGTAAGTGATCACTGAGATGGTTTATTTTTCTGTCTCCGAGGGGACATGGACACGGTAACTTGTTTGCTAAACTAATAAATATCAAGAACAATTGGGATTTCGAACACCATAAAGCATTTTAAACAGGGACTTTGTCTTGGGGACACGCTCTCAAATAAAGCTGTATTTTATGTAAATCGACCTTCCAAGCTTTGTTTTATATATATTTATGCCTTTTTATTTAGCAAATTGTATTCCCCATCATTTTACAGAGGGAAATAACGGGGGTGGGGGGGTGGGGGGGGAAGCCTGGGGTGGATCGGCCAGATTTATAAAACCCCAGATAGGAGAGCCTTTGTTTTCCAATGTGGGCATTTCCATGCAAATGGCTTGCTGCGGGGTCTGAGGCTTCGGGCTCTGGGAGGTTGTGGGCCCCACAGAATTCCTCAAGACGGGGGTCGGGGGTCGGGGGTCGGGACGACCGACTAGGTGCTGGCCCACTGGAAAAGACCAGACCAGCATCTCAGGAAAAGCGCTGGAAGGCATGTGTTCTTGGGTCAAAAGAGGCTTCAGGACGTGGTGTCTGGACAGATGAATCCATGCTGATTCCTCCAAGTGCCACCTTGACTAAGCCACCCCCGGCCGCTAAACATGGGGGGCCAGGAGCACAGAGCAGAGGTTGGGAAGGCAGGCCTATCCCCTCACTGCTGCTGGCCTGACCCCTGAGCCAAGGGGACAATGAACAGGCATGTCTCCCAACGCATCTGAGCCTCTGATGTCTACACGCAGAGACCACTGCTGCCAGGGCCCCAGGAGGGCACCTCGTCCATGCTGAGGACAACGGACACGCGTACCCTTTTAGTGTGGCAGCGGACACAGAGAAGGAACTAGGATCCATTTGGCCCATGAGCTCATGATAGGCACATGGCCGCCTGGGTGTAAGTACAGAACTCTGTCCAAATTCACGGCACCTTCTCATTTGCCAAAAGCACGGAAGGACGGTTGAAGCTGATCCGCTCGCCAATTCACTCGTGGAGCATCTCGTCCTCGCTCGGCACTGGGACCGGGGCTGCCGAACACAGCAAGCGGGGCACGAGTGGCTGCGTGAGACGGGAGCCAGAGGGAGCGGCCATCCTCTGCTCTCTCCTCGACAACACGACAGGCTGTACCCACGTCCTGGCTTGCTGCTGCTGCTTTGACGGGTGTGTGTCCCCAGTGGCTTTAGAGCACTGTCATTTTCTACGTCTGGAAACGTTTACAAACCTGGTCCGTTGGCCCCAGTGATGTGCGAACTTGCTTCTCAGGAACCCCACATCGTTCCTCCTGTGGTGATGGGAATCAGAGATGTGGGGGCAGGAAGGCCCCGGCCTACTGGCCCAATGCTGCCATGCTCTAGTTCAGCAAAGCCCTGCACACACTTTCGTCTCCGAGGCAGGCTCAGCTGGGACGCCTCCGGCCCTCCCCAGTACGGCGGACACAGCTTCCAGTGTTCTGCCGGCCAAAGCCACAGTAAGGGAGCACCAGAGGGCCCGGTCAGGCTCCTGTGACCTCCGCCCAGCCCCCTCTCTCGATGCTAGCCACAGGCCTCTGCTCAAGCTCCTCAAACTCAGGCCAGACCCAATGGGACTCGGGGCCTGTGGAGCCCCGGGAGAAGGAGCCTCACCTCAACAAGAGCGTTCTGGGGAATGAGCTGACTCCCAAGTCACGCATTCATCTTGACAAAGTTACGGGGCTCGGAGGCTGCTGGGGATGCCCTCCCCTTCCAGGCTCCCGTAAGTGGCACCCAAATTGCACACATCTCTGAAAATGCTTTAAAAGGGGAACATCCACGGCCTTTCTCCCCATCTAATTTCTCGCACACATTTACGTGATTAATTTCAGTTTCTTAAAATCTAACACCTTGGAACCCCAGCTCTGCTCATGAGTAATTATTTATAAACAGTGTCATAAAAGGCTGCTTGACTGCCAAGAGTAATCAACTTCTTCAAACCACTTCAAAGGAAATCAAAAAACCTTTCCATCCACAGATCCTTTTGAGGTTTAACTAGGAGCATGATTTAAAATTCACAAGAAAACCCTTAGGTATTGGAGCTCTAATACACAGCTTTCTTGGACAAACGTTTGATAAAAAACGCAAGATACCATTATATACACCATCACCTGCTTTAATATTGCCCAGGGCTACTGTAAATGCTCACTTTGTACTAAATCTGCTTTTCTCGAGGCGAAGGGGATGCCAGCCACGTGCCGGGGGCTCCCCTCATTCCCCCATGTGCGTGCTCACCGGGGTGAGTCCGGAGCCTTCTTTCGGTCTACACTAGCCACCGGCCACATGAGCCCCTGCCCGCCCCACCCCGTGCCCAGGAAGCAGAAGCGCTGAGTGCCCAGCTTCCAGGAAACACGGGCCGCTGCGTGGCTGGAAGGATTCAAGACAGCCTCCCTCACTAGCCCAGGGAGGCAGAACCGCTCACTGGACTTCAGAGGGCCTCCCCTTGTCCATTGTCCTCTTCCAGAACACACGAGACAACACTCACAAAAGCATGCCCTTCTGCCCAGCCTCCCCTCCTTCCCCTATGTCCTGCCTCACTTGTGGGCGGACGCCTGGGCACGGGGAGGAAACCTGCAGATGTCCCTCTCTGGTCTTCACCTAAGCGGTTGGGCCTTGAGCAAAAAGGGCAAAGAGATTCCAACATCCCTTAGAGCTGCCAGCCCCGGGCCTGGCAGAGGCGGCGGAGGCCTGTGGGGACAAATCCACCCCCCAAAACAGTGGTGACTGGGATCCGATGCCTCTACTCCCGGAGAGAGCATCGGGCCAACACCTTGGCTCTAGCTATGGAGGAGGGCAGGAGGCCGGCCCCCTGCTAGAGCCAGACGATGCAGGTCTGGGTCCTTCGCCCCCGCCTGGGAGCGAACAGGGCAGGTGCAGCATGGAGAAGGAATGGAGGCTCCGTGGCAGGCGGAGGAGGCTGTAAGGCCAGCCACCAACGGCGTCGGCCACACCGAGTCTAAAGCAGAAAGATGGTGGGGAAGTGACAGTTCGACGCTGAAGATTACACGTGCGCACAGAGGGGCAGGATTAAATGTAATGGGAATCTGCCTTGAATTTCGGCTCTTGAATTTCCGGCTTCAGGCTGGCAGTGTGAGGACACGGGACACGGCACACGTGGCCCAAAGTGAATCTTTCAAACCAGCAGGACAGAGCGGTGCCGCGGCCCGGCTCCTGAGAGTTGAGATGGTTGTGTTATTACCAGGCACAGTTTTTAACTCAGAGGGATCTGGCGAAGGGTCATGAGTGGGAACTCCCACGCCCTGTCATGGGCGGGGGGGGGGGGGGGGGGGGGGGGGGGGGGGGGGGGGGGGCGCGGTGCGAGGGTCAAGGCCTTGACCTTGCTTTTAACTGCTGCTTTGCTTTCTCTTCACTTTCGCTTCTGCTTTAACTTTGCTTTGCTCTGCAATGTGTTGGTGCTGATACAAGAGAGCCGAACACGGCGGGCAGGCTGCTCCCCACGGCCCGCAGACAACACCGAGCCCCCGTCCAGACTCGGGGTCGGGGGAGGAGGTGGGAAGGCAGACACATCCGTCTCCGGCGCGGGAGGCCCGGCTGGTGAGCTTCGGTCTGCGGCCGGACCCCCGGGAAGGAAGGTGGCCCAACCGCCACCCGCACCCCGGTGCCATGTGAAAAACAGCCAACCGGAGAACAGAGGCCTCTTAGAAGGGTCTCTGTGGGGCAGAGCGAGCCCCACCAGGAATACACGGGTGGCCGGGCGGGCAGCTCAAGAGGGTGGTGCTCCCGGCCCACGGGTGCCCACGGCTCCGTCTGCACCTGGGGCATGTGGGCTCACAGCCAACGTCAACTCTCAATTCTGCCTACCCAGAGAATCACACAGGGACACCGCTGTGCTCTCCGTGAGCCACTCTGCTTAGGTTGGCGAAATGGCACTGGGACCCAAGCAGCCCCTCGCTCCGATGCTCTGCAGCCAAGCCTGGAACCGCGTCAGGATCGGCGGGCGGGGGGCACGCTGGAAAGGCCAGGCGTGCGTGGTGCACCTGTAGGCCTGGAGTGTCCTCTCTCTCACCTTCTTCTGTCGTTGTGTCTTGATGCATCCTTTCTCATCTTAGGCCTGTGAGCCCCACCACAGGGCATCTCAGGGCTCTGCCCTTCTCAGCTGCGCCAAGCACTAATTTCACTGGCGAGCTGGTATCTCCTTCAAAGCGGCCAGTGCTCCAGTGAAAAGAAACATCAAAGCTCGCAGACACTAGTTCTCCCTGACAGCTCACACAGGATGGGAATGATCCTCCACTTGGCAAATCGACTGTGGAATGGAGTGCCTCTCTCTTCTCTCTGGTTCTGGGCCCTGGCTTTGGGTGTAGCCGACCTGCACCTGGGCCAAGAGTTGGGGAACTCTGGCACGCACTAACTGGCACCAGCGATGAGACTATCAGGAAAACCCGAGTGCTGCATGTCTAGGTGGACCGGAAACCAGATTTACACCTGACGTGTGGAGCGATCACAGAGTTTAAAGCCAACAGGCGAGATCAGATGGGGCACACGAAAGCATTAATAATTGATTCCATGGGCCTTTCGGAGGTTTTTGTTTTAGAAACTTGGCAAGAGAACTTTTTAGCCGTGCCCCCAAAAGGAATTAAGTCATTTTTCAATGAGCCACCATCCCAAGTTGCCAAAACCCCTCCCTTCAGACACAGGGAGGGCAGAGTGGTTCATAGCGGTTGGGCAGGAGCGGGAGTGGGGGAGGGGAGGTAATGGGAGAGGAGGCTGGTCAAGTGCTCACCATTATTGTTGTCTTGTTGCAAGTGACTGATCATGAACAGGATGGGGTCCTTGGGCTGGTGGATCAGGAGTTGCTCCAGCATGTTCTGTGGGCACAGGGTAAGACACCCAGGTAGTTAACACCTGCATGGGCACCAAGCGCCCAGCGCCCTGGTCGCTACCGATACCGGCTATGGGGCCCGATCTCTCCACTGCACCCACCAAACAGGCCTGCAACTTGGAACCCAGACCCTGCTACAGCTGGATCTGCTTCGATCCCCATGAGCAGAGGAATGAGGGAAGGGTCTTGCAGGTATCACAGAGGCACGTGGAGGGACCACATCCCAGACTCAGAGCAGACAGGCCCAGCCAGGGTCCTCTCACCTCAGTCCCTCCGTGCTCCCCGGACCAGCCTTCTCTCAGTTTACCTCCTTCACCATGTTCATTTGCCCCGAGCCTTAGCAGATGCTGTTCCCTCCTCTTGGAACACTGTTCCCCACGTCCTCAGGTCTCAATGGAAACACACCCTCCTGATCACACCCACTAGATCAATCCTGTCCTATGCTCCTGCAGTCCCCTACATCCGTTATCGCCGCACCTTTGTCTCAGCGCTGGGCACACAGTAGGTGCCCAATGCCAAGGTCTGCCGGCTGACATGGTCATCACTGCTCCCTGTGTTCCTCCAGAGCGGGGCAGAATATTTACCAGCCAGAATATTTACTATCCTGGGATAGTCTGGCCATTTAATTCCAAGGAAAGCCAGCTTCCACGGTTCCAGAACAAGAGGCACAGAAGTGAACTAGGTAGCAGATAGGAGCTGGGCCGGCACCGTTAAAGAGCCTCCATCGGGGACAACCAGGGAGGGGCTTTTGCCTTTCAGGGGCAGAGGACGTGTGCCGCGGACGAGAGCACGCAGCTCTGAGAAGCCCCAGCTCTGCTCTGCACCACCTCAGCTTCCCCAGCTGGTGGAGTCCCAACGGGACTAGCTGACTCTCACCACTGAGATGGTGGGAGATGATGTTGGCCGTGTCACAGATGAGTGTTTTTAATTTCACTTTAAATAGCTATGTATCTAATGTGTGCTAGAAAACCTACGGTTTCAAGGCTATAGCTCAAGAAGAGGTAATATTACTTAATTTTTTAAAGTGGGTTGATTTAAAGAAGTGATCAAGTTAGGGGCGCCTGGGTGGCCTGGTCAGTTAAGCATGAGACTTCAGCTCAGGTCATCATATTGTGGTTTGTGAGTTTGAGCCCCACATGGGGCTCTGTGCTGACAGGGCAGAGCCTGCTCGGGATATCCTGTCTCCCTCGCTCTCTGCCCCTCCCCTGCTCATGCTCACAGTCTCTGTCTCTGTCTCTCTCAAAAATAAACAAACATTTCAAAATGATTAGGTTAAAGCGGAGAAACATGGTGATAAAATTTCATGGGATAATACACCAAAAAGAAAGAAGTGCAGGTAAAAATGGACGAACCCCAAGTAAGTATTGCCGCGGCCTAGTTAATTGTCTTGGACCAACGTCAATGTCCCAGAGTTATGTTAGATAGCATTACGG